CATGATGAAGCCTGAACTGTTTGTAGTTTTTGTTCCGTGACTCTTGAGCATCTTCTAAAAGTTGCCCAAGAGGCAATACCGAAAAATGACGTATGACACTTTCACCATGAATCAAAACCCTGTGCACGGAAGATGGCATATAGTACAATTTATATTTATTAACATACAGTGTGCACAATCAAATCCCATCTCCAATTTCTGTTTTGGCTTAAGAACTGTTCTTTCTATCGACCAGCTTTAGTATAGCGTTGACGAAACTGAGTTATGAAAGACTTCTGAATACTTGCGATAATTTTAGCAATATTTGCATCTGAAGATTCGGTGAAATTGCATCGTATATACACACATCAAAAGTGTCTAGGGATCAAGCATTTTTATGCAGATTTCTTGAGATTGAGATGTGGCTTTGTAATAAATTTAGGATTTTATAAATTTATATGGATCCTTTTTGGTGCATTTCATAATTTGAATCAGGAACTGTGAATCAAATTCGAGTAAAAGATGAAAATCAGCTGTCAATATTTTCCCTATAAAAACATACAACGCATTGAAGACATTATTAGTGCTACTGTTTCCCTACTACTGATTAAAACCAACGTTATTATGGAGCGGCGACGTCATTTAAGCAGGGAAGAAATGCTCAGAGCCGTGGGAATGATAGAAGCTGGTTCCCGGCAACGTACTGTGGCTTTAGCTCTGAATACAAGTCAGAGTGTTATCAGTCGACTTTGGACACGATACCGAAGCACTGGTACCGTAGCTGAGTGCCATGGAGGACGGTATCGCTGCACCACACGGAGACAAGACCGATACATTCAAATCTTAACTCGAAGAGCTCCAACAATAACCGCCATGATGTTAGCCGTGAGGCTTCATCACTCTTCAGGGAACTTAATTAGCGACCAAACAGTCAGAAACCGCTTGCATGAAGTGAACCTTCATTCCCGAAGACCGCTACGGGTACCACCTATAGCAATGCACAATCGTAGGATTCGATATCAATGGGCTCTTGAACACAGAAATTGGGCAGAAGAACAATGGCGTTTCGTGTGCTTTTCTGATGAGTCTCGTTTTGGTATGAGACCGGATACAAGACGTATACGACACTGGAGAACCCCTGGACGCCAACAGCGATTAAAATCCTGCCAGGAAGTCCATCCTTATAGTGGTGGAACCATCATGGTATGGGTGGGTATTTGGATCGGCGGAAGAACTGAGTTGATTTGGATCAGAGGCAACCTCAACGCTCAAATTTATGCTGAGACGATTGTATCAGACGTCATCGTTCCTCTACAAGTGCAAATCGGTCCCTTATTTCAGTTAATGCATGATAATGCACGACCGCACACCGCAAGAGTTGTAAGACAGACTCTCGCCGCAGCTAACATCAATGTCCTGCCCTGGCCTGCTCAGTCGCCAGACTTGAACCCGATTGAGCATGCATGGGATATGCTACAGAGAAGAGCTCTGCCGAATATGGAGGGTATCCAGTCGCAAGAAGACCTTTTTTTGTTGTTGCAACGAACATGGGCGGCCATTCCACAGCGTGATTTGGATGAACTCATTTTGAGTATGCCAAACCGATGTTCTTGTGTTGTTAGTGTTCGCGGTAGAAATACGGATTATTAATTGTTTAAGTTACCCAATAAAATTTTAGAGAAAACTGTTATTTCAGACTTTTTTTCGAACTTTTGTGTTAGTGGTTCAAATGTCAAAAATCCCTTTATTAGGAAAATGGCAAATTTCTTTATTAATGCAAAGGTGACTTGGTTTATCGTTACTGTGACAAACGAAAACACTTTATTTGATGAATCCTTAAAGAAAATTTTAATTAATATCAATCAGGAGAAAAGTTATTGCAAAAATATATGTTGATCCCTAGACACTTTTGATGTGTGTAGTTAGAGAGGGAAACACCATAATTTGTATCACTTTCAAACAATAAGAGACTTAGGTTGCGTTTGGTACATGAGAATTGACTCATTGCGACGGGATATTTAGAAAACAATTATTTACGACAAAAACTAATGAAGAACTGTAATATTTCATACTCAAATGTACTATTTTATACCGAAAAATTATGGAAGACGTGTACAAAATTAGTAGATATAAACTATTTTGCATTACTAAGACGCTTGAGCTTCCTAAAAGTAATACCATCTCCTATTTGAATTCCTTTTCTTTTAGGGCTGCACAGCTGTGGAATAAACTTCCGTCCAATATTCAGGAATGTCCGACCATCTTCTCGTTTAAGTCTAAAGTTAAAGATCATTTTCTCAAACAGAAATCTCAAACTTAATGAATCATTCTCACGAAGTATCTTGTTTCTTATTAGTATTTATTTATCAGGTTTATATGTATGTTATGTATATTTGGTTAGGTATTGTATTTATATATGTAATGTGTATCGTATATATATATATATATATATAACTATTATTTTTATTAAGTCTATTTCCTATAACAGTAGTAATAAATTATTTTTAGTTTAATTTTTATTGCACTTTCTGTTTCCCGCTAAGTTGTGAATCTCCTACACCACCTAGGTTGGCTGGAAGAGATCTCTTTTAGAGATAAGTCCACCTTTGCTTACTATGTATTTTACTATATGTTTTAACTATATGATGCAATAAAGAGTATAATAATAATATTTTACAATTTTGCGATTTTGCGATTTTTCCATAGTCCTAATGGGAATGGGATCTAAATATTATGTGAAATACACGATATTAGTATAGCATAAGATAAAAAAAATATAGCAAAAGGGCCAAGAGCCTTTATTTAAATGTCCGTGCTGAAAAACCCGAAATTATAAAAGTCTTATTAAACGTACTTAAAAATATATGTTTTCACACGCTGATATTCTAAGACATTTGACAATATTATGCACTGATACAGCAAAAAAAATATTTGCCGTCAAATTTTATTATATTATCTAAGAAATAACATAAGAAACAGAACTTCGGCAGGCTTCGGCAAATGTCAAAACTCCAACTGAAAATTTAAGAAAGGAAAATAATCCACATTATGATACAGATTTTTTTTTAATTAAATAATATTAAAAAAAACTGCATGTATATTAATTCTAAAGATAAGAAGACACTCCAAGCTTTCTAAAATGGTATCACACTTAAATGACTTCTTTTGTTATGATACTATAAAATTATACCAAACTAACTGAAATCATATTATTATTTTTGCATTTTTTTCATTCCCTGATTTTAGATGTTCTTCTTTATAAAATACAAAGATTCAGAGACTTAAATTATATTGATTATAATAAAGTAACTCTTTAGCTACAATTTGATGTATAATACATGCCTCGAATCACAGTTACGAAAAAAGCATTTATGAGATGGCTTTCTTAGGCCGTATACAGAAAGAAAGCCGAAAGCCGATCGGCGCCGATCCTTCCTACATGAAGGAAGCCGATTAAAGCAGATCAAGCAAAATGTCGGACTCATCGGACGATGATTTGGTTTTGTTAGAAAATGTTTATTTAAAAATGCGAAAAACAGCTATACATCCTATAAATAGAGAAAGGAAACGTTTCGGAGAATACCATCATTTATTTGTAAAAAAAATAAAATTTGATGAACAAAGATTTTATACATATACAAGAATGATTCAAGAAACATTTTATTACATTTTGGATTTAGTGAAAAACCGTTTGATGAAAAATTGGGGCAATTGACATAAACAACCAATCCTTCCAGAAAAAAGACTTGTTGTCACCATTCGGTAAGTACGAAAAAAATAATTTTAGCGCTTAGTTAATAAAAGATAAAGTTATTAGATTTATAAAAAGATTATAACTTAGATTGATTTAATCTAAGGATAATAATTCAAATACAAATTATTTATTATTCGGACCAGCGCGTGTCGGCGCTTATCGACGCCGGTCCATAGAAAAAGGATCAGCGTCAATAGGCGCCGATAAGCGCCGATCGGCTTTCGGCTTTCTTTCTGTATACGGCCTTAGGCGGGTTCCCATAGTGCGATGGCGTAGCTTTTCGACATTCACAAGTGCTTGTAACAGCCTAGACTGAATAAACGATATTGAATTTTGAATTTTATTTAATAGTAGGTATCAAGAAGTAGTTTGTGTGTAAGAACTTATCTCTAAATCTTATCATCCGAATTTAAACTATCTTTCATCAATTTTATTTTGTGTGGGTTTTCAGGGCGAAATAGACTTTATTTCAATAAATAAAATATAACTTGAAAAATTAAATGAAACAAAAATCGCAAATAATATATGCTACAACAATAGACACAGGAGCTCTTCTCTCTTTCTCCGAAACGAAATTTCGGTTACGAACGAATTTTAAACGAAATTTCGCCAATAACTCTACTCTATTTCGTTTTCGAATACGTTCATAAAGTTCGGAATCACAGACAATTTTAGTGAACGAATGGAATGAGTCATGTTTGTGAGTTCTTTTATCTCCACTTTTTAGATTACCTGGTTTACTTGGAAACAATATTACTTTACTTAAATTTTTTTGGTGACATTAAAAGAACCTTCTTTGACAGTGTTAGCCGACTAATTTGTAGAGTTGATGCACTTCATTATATGTCAACCTAATTTGTCGTTTAATACTTTGAAGTATTGGAAATACAATAATTAAAATAAAATTTGGTGTATTTGTTAATTTGACATGCTGAAAAATGCTCCTCATGCTAAGCAGCCTTGATTAAAAATACTCTAGCAGTCATTTTAGGCTTAATTTAAACAAAAGTTCCAAAACGAAAATGAAAAGGTAACACTTTTCATTTCGTCAATTTTTTTCAAAATTCGAACAATTACATGTCGAATTCAACTTTTAGTTTGAAAGTTTTGTGAATTAGAGTAGGCTTGGAGAATTTATTTGTCAAACTATTTTCGGACGATCGAATTTTCGAATTGAAAAGGAAACAGTAAGAAACGCGCGAAAATAGAGTAGGCCTCCAGGTCAAATATAATTCGTCGGTTTTAAACTTTAAAAAATCCTTTACAGATACTCATCCATTTCTATCCGAGCAACGGGTACAGCATACCGTTGTACTGCTGGATGCTGCTGCTGCCACTCGTGCTTATCACACAGATCAGGCACCTCAAGTTCCTGGAGCCGTTCTCGTTCTTCGCCAACATCTGTCTGCTGGCCACCTTCGGCATCACTTGCTACTACATCTTCTCAGACCTTAAGGATGATACCGATGCAGAGCTAGCTGTGAGCGTGATCACGTGGCCTGTGTTTTTGAGGTGAGTCTTGATTTGAAACTAGTTTTGAGTTGAGGTGAATCCAGGAAACATACTCTAATTTAAAGAAAAACTAAATTTCGATCGAAGCTTCGCTTATTATTGCGTTTATAATTATAATAATAGCCGTTCGCAGCAAAATAGATTGAGCTTTAGATTCTCTATAGCTCCATAGAAAATAAAAAAAATATTGATAGTTTATCGTTCAAATTAAGCATAACCTCAAATTGACAAAGATTAATAATAAGGACCTCAAATTGACTTGATAATAGTTTACTCAAACTAAGAACTTGTTAAGCTTGTAAACGCTGACTTTCAGTCATCGATGTAAAGGATAAAACGACTCGAGCTAGGTATTCATATTTTTATTGCGCTCATATCGTAAGATTCATACGTCACATCAGATATTAAATATGTATGCATGAGTAACAATAATGAACCCTGAAAAGGGCACTGCTATTGTACGAAGAAAAATAATATTTATAAAAGCAACACAAAAGTCTCGAACAAAACAACCTTTATATCGCAAGTGGGGTCGCTTTAAAAAAGGTTCGGTAGGTACTGAAACCCAAAACTTTTGCTACAAACAATGCTATTAAAATTTGTTACCCAAATTATAATAATAAACAGTTTACATAACATATATAGAACGAATTGTATTATTGTACTACGCTTTATAAATGAGAATAAAACACTTACGTTTTTGTTTCTTAGGTTTTCATGCACATCGCTCATTAAATAAAACAAGTTTTTACGGGTTAGATGTACTGAATTTATTTATTTATTGACGTTTCGCATCCTTTGCATGAAGGCGTCGTCAGAATAATGTATTTTTATTTACTTTGTCGAGCTACCTTCGAAAGACTTTTATTGAGCGTTCGGATATTCCATTGGAAGTTTTTTAAAACTTTATTGTCTATGCTTGAATTTATTAGCAAATTTAATTAATAAAGTAATGTATTTCATTGTTTTTTAAAATTTTGAGTTTATTTATTTGACCCTAACTACCGTAAACTACCACCGGTTCCAAAATTGGGGGACCTTTCTGAGAAGAACTGGCGAAACAAACTCAGAGAGGCTTTCTATCTCCCTCTTATGTTAAATCATGCAAATGAAAAGAACTAACAGTATTTGTTGGTCTTGCAGTGTGTGCTCGGGGTTGGGATTTTATCTGTTGTATAATGGATTCCCAAGCTGGTGGTATATACCAACCATCTTCCCTATTGAAATTTGGATATTTCTTAATCTCAATAGCTTCGATTATCATTCTAAGATTGATTCGTTGTTCAGTTGCAAGGATCTGGGGTTTATCAAATCTAATGTCATGGTTTGGTCCCCCTAGTGCATGTTCACACACTGCAGACTTATTTTCGCGCCTATGTTTCTTAAAATAAGTCTGCAGTGTCTGAACATGCAGAAATGCATCGTCAGAATAAAGATTGCAAATGATGCGAAACGTCAATAAATAAATAAATTCAGTACATCTAACCCGTAAAAACTTGTTTTATTTACTTACGTTTTTGTAAAATAATAACGATTACTAAGGGTAGGGTACTGAAATATTTACTGTTTTTTTTTACATTATGACATTAAGGATCCTTTGCGGCTTCGTTATTACAACAAGTTAATGTTAAACACAAGTAGTATTTTCAGTATAAGTCCTAAGGGCTCTATCCTATTCCCCACACTTTAACTGCTGCATATAAATGATTTAATTCCTCTGCGGAATATTCACTGCTATGCAGACGTTAGTACAGTGCATGCAAGATATTTCCAACATGGCAGCGGCAGCTGGACAGGTACAAATCAAGGAAAAACGGGAAAATCTTGTCATTGAACTCAATCAGGCTTTGGACCACATTTCCGAATGGGGTACTAAGAACTTGGTTGAGTTTAATGCTAAGAAAACCAGGTATAGCGCATACCTGGGTTTTCTAAGCATTTAACTAACTTAACGGCAAAAATTTCACTATTCCTTTCCATTCCACCTCTCTTTAGGGCCAACACTGGTGCTACAGAGCAACATCACCATGCTTGTGCTTGAATCCAAGATACTAAATTGAAACCGTGATCAAAACAACTTCACGAAAACTCGAGTGTTGAACAAGGTGCGGCATTTTTTCCAACGGAATATTGCTTACACCTCTGGGATGGCTCTGCCAATTACTTACGCAATGCTCTGGATAGATGGCGGCGATGGTTCTGAGGAGTTATTCTTTCTCATCCAACTTTCCTCTTCCTTCAGCCTACCACACGCGCTGGCCTACGTTGCCAACGGCTTACTGTGACAATGATTCCTACACGAGCAAAAAAATTAAGTCAATCATTTCTTATTCGCATTTCTTTGTGGTTCCTCCATCCTATAATCTGGGATCTTTTTAAAGAGACTTGATAAACAACGATATTAATACCCTAGATACACCACGTCCGCTCAATATGTGCCCCAATCAAGAAGTGCTTAAACACCACTCAAATACTTCTTAATTAACGGTTACGCGCGGACCGTTAAAAAGTCAACATGCCGCAGAGTTCCGTGTAAAAATGCGAAAAAAACAAAGATTTAAAGATAAAGACACTTGTAGTTTTTCGACAAGTACCTAATGAATGTTTGTTGATTAAACTTAATTGCATTTGCAGCAAATTTAAATTTAATTGCATTTGAAGCAAATTTTTAATAGAAATTACATGTGATATTAAAATGCATGGTCGGTAATGTAGCCGTCTCTTTTCCTCGCGGTCCGTACCTTTTTTTTTGACCCGGAGAAATGCCTTACGCATACCCCGCCGCTGGGTAGGCGATGGGGTTATGTGAGACTCCTCCCCCCAAAACCCGCCCACCCAATCAGCCATCCCTAGGGCTGGCTCAGTGACTGCTCGGGATGGGGGGGTCCTACCCACTAAAACTCCGGGATGTGCTCTGCTTGCCTTAGGTGGCGGCATGGGGTCCTTACTGGGAATCAACCATGCCGCCGCCGGCCGGCCCGGCTTTTAGCTAGGCCACCTCACGATCGGGGGGATTCCCAGGCACATGGTAGGAATCCCCCCCCAGACTGCGGTGCCGTGCAATGCAGGCGCGGGTTACCCTACCCACGCCCGCTGGCCCCGACTCAGGGTGGAAGACTGCGGATGTATTCCCGCATCCTTCGTCCCATTCGTCTGCGTCGGATTGGGTCTGCCTGAGGGTCTTGTTCGCGGACCCGCTCCGCTGCCTCCTTTTTCGACATCACCTCTTCGCAAAAGGAGGATACCGCCTTCCAGGACCTGTCGTTGGCAAGCATGGCCGAGATCACGCTCGGCAAGGAGAGGTCCAGTCCTATGACCGCGGTGAGGGTGCTGCGCTGCCGAGACCAAGTGGCACACACCGCAAGAGTATGCTCTGCAGTGTCCTCGGCCGCGCCGCATTCGTGGCACATTGGGGACGGCTCTCTCCTTATCCGAAATAGGTACTTACCAAAGCAGTCGTGCCCGGTAAGCACCTGCACCAGTCGGTAAGTCAACGACCCGTGTTTTCTCCGGACCCAGTCGTCAAGTACCGGGCGCACGGCCTCAATGGTACGAATGCCGTAGGTGGGAGAGTATAGTGTCTCTTTCCACCTCTGTAACACCCTCTCGTACGCCACAAGCCGGACCCTCCTCATTTCCTCCGGAGATGGTCGTTCTCCCCTTCCTCGCGCTTCCACCCTGTACCGGTAGCTCTCGGCCAGAAAGTCAGCCTCGAGCTCCCAGGGTGGTGTCCCCGCCAGTATACAGGCTGCCGCTCCGGAAACAGTGCGGTATCCTCTAATGGCCCGCGTAGCTATGGCCCTTTGTGGCCTCCTCAGTAAGGTTCTGGTTTCACGGTTCAGGGCCTCATTCCAAACTGGGGCCCCGTACATCGCCATGCACCTGACGACGCCTGCAAAAAGTCGTCTGCAGTCAAGCGCTAGGGCCCCCCACATTTGGCATAATACGGGCCAGGGCGGCTGCCACTTTTGTGAGCCTCGGTGTTAGGCGTTTAAAGTGCTCGGTGAATTTCCACCGAGCATCTAATACCAGACCCAAGTATTTTAAGTAAGGACTCAGTTTGATTCCCTTCCTATCTATCATCACAGATGAACCCGCTGGAGGCCTCCTCCGTGGACGCGGTCCGTACCTGCTATTTTACTAACTGCGCTTGGAGACAAAGAAATAAAGTCTATAATCTTCCGCATATAGCAATTAGTCGTAAAATTTTAGGAGCTTGCATTTCGAACTGTCATAATTCACTACGCATTAAAGGTGACGGTAAATGATTAAATAATGCCTTACATTGTTTTTGACAACGCGATCATCTTCCAGAGCTACGTGGATCGTCCAATGTGCCTTTTGAACATGTTTCAGCCAAGATTTTGTTCGTTATGTTATATCTGGGGTATTTAATATCGTTGGTGAAAAAGCATTACTGCAGGCCGGCAAGGTGAAGATGGTTCGTGTGGCAATTCATAATTGCCGCAGCAGCTACGAGTATATTTGCGTCTGAACTTTATCACCACTTAACATGAGCTGGGATAGTCATATGCCTACACTAGCTCTGAAAATATTTAAAGTTTAAACAATTTACAAATATGATTTAGCCTAAATTTGAATGCAATTCTTTAGATAAAAAATGGTACCAATTAACTTGCTTCTTAAACAAAATTTTATTTAAATTCATATAGAATGATCGGCAAAAAGAAAGTTACGAGTATCTCTGTATGCAATAATTTACTATAACCCGCAATTTAAATATAGAATTCATTTAACCTAAGCATAATGAAAACCGAGAATTTATGCAAATATTCTAGGTCATAACTACAAAGTAATCCCAACTCATAAGTTTCAGAGCTTTCGATCAGAATCCCATTTTTAGAGCGAAAATCAAGAGTGGCATTTATAAGGATTTTCTCGCCTAAATCCTTACATTCATTTATAACGAAAGACGGCTACTGATTTCTGAAAATGGGAATATTAGTTCTGGCGGTCAATGGTGATAAATACAATTCTGT